CAAAATCAAAATCAAGAATTTCGAATTGTGTTCAGGAATTGGTGAGGTGGGTGAAGAGGGATTCGATTCAGAATCATAGTTTTCGTTGAAACAAGTCGGAATGGATGAGAAATCGCACCAGCAGGGTGATACTTCAGTTTTTCAAGGAACAAACAATTACCCATATTCCAATTCATTGGCTAACTCGCACGCCGCCGACGTGGAAGTTGCCGCCAGAGATGCAGTTCTGCGCGAGCAAGTAGACATTTTTCTCTTTTGGGTTCAAATTTCTTTCGTTGTTTAGAATTGATCTGATTTCTGCTTCTTCTTCTTCTTCTTCTTATTTTTTTCTATATTCGTTCGTGTTTGTAGGAAATTGCTACTCAAAAAATCATTCAGGGTCAGAGGTAAGTATTGCAGTTCTCTGTAATTTTATGGTGTTGGTATTTTTGAAATTTTGAGGGAATAGTTTAGTCATGTTTTCCTGCTGTTTCAGAGAGGCTGGAGCTGCAGTTGTACCTCCTAGAGATGGATTGGATCTCTTCTCAGAGCGCCGTGACCCTAATGCTCTAAAGGTTGGAAGTTTGCTCCTTCTTTGTTTTTCATTGCAGACGGGATATATTGTGGGAATTTCTCTGTTCATGTTTTTTTGTTTGTGTATATAGGAGCATTTACTAAAGATGGCATCAGAGCACCGTGCAGAAATGGCTTCAAAGCGGGGGAAGCCTAATTTGCCTGAAGGTGGTTTGTAATGCATTTCATTCTTCATCTTTGTGTTACTGTTTTTTATCTTCATTTCATTTTTATATAATTTTTGGTTCGAGTTACAATAACCATCATGATGATTGAAGTTCAATTTTTGTAAGACTGCTGAAAGTAAAATTCAATAGTTGAATTGGAAAATCTCTCTTTGTATGACATCTTTTTATATGGAAAAGAGAGGAAAGGAGCTAGTGGCAGAGTTGGTGGTAGATCAGGGCCAATTTAACTGAGTTCATTGCTGCGAATTTTCAAACATCTATTAATATATATGGTTTGAGAGGGCTTAAAAATTGAGAGGGCTTCTGATCATAATTCTATGGTTTTAACAAAATTCTACTTCTAGTTCCCTAATACTTCCACCCATCATCTGTTATTGATTCTGTGTTTTTGCATTTTTTATGATAATGTTACCTGTAGTATTTTTAAACTTCTCCATCCATCTTAACTGGTAAACTGGAAGTTGGATCAGATTGAAACAATTTTAAAAAGTTATGGCCCAATTTGCTAAATGCAATGTCAGGTTGAAAATTGAAATTCACAGTGCAGGTTGAGGACTAAAAGTTTTGGTTTCCCTACTTAATGATGTGGTAAGAAAGGGGAGACACCAAAGAAGCTAATTCTTGTGTTGTTTTCAGGTAACATAGAAATTGGAAATGGGTATGGTGTACCTGGTGGAGGTGCTTATTATGGTGCTTCAAGGCCTAATTTTTCTATGGCAGGTTAGATAAACAATTTAATCTGGTTGCTTCTTTCAATTGTTTACAGAAGCATGTGATAATTTCCTCACATGTGAAGTAAGATTTCTCTTCTTTTGATGTTTCAGGAAATATAGATCCTGTAAACAATAAGACAGGCCAGAAAACTCCTGAGCTTGATAAAGAATCAGAAAGCAAACCTGCAGCTAAAGAATTGCCAGAGTACCTTAAGAAGAAGCTGAAAGCAAGAGGCATTCTTAAAGATGATAATGATTTATCAAAAACTAATAATGTGAGTTTAGCTGTTTTTCTCTTACTCTTTCTTCTTCTTCTTTTTTTTTTTTCTATTTGGTGTCAAAAACACTAAAGTGAAGCCATATAGCTTCATTCTTATATTTACTAACAATTTTGCTTGCATATTTCAGTTTCAGAAAGTGGAGGCTGGTTCTACTGAGCTTGCACAAATTGGGAAGCTGCCTCCAGGATGGGTGTGTGGCAATTGCTATTTATATGC